ATGTTGGGAAAACATTTTTGCTGCTTAATATTGTTTGTGGAAACTTGACACAGCACTATTGAAATGATTAGGTACGATTTTAAAAAAAGAAAAGAAAAAAGAAATGAATTCTTTTATTCTGCAAGGAAATATTAAATTGATCAAAAGTGAAATGTATGATGTTACAAAAGGCTTCTATGTCAAATAAACGTTCTTTTTAACTTTCATCAAAGAATCCTGAAAAAAAATGTATCACATTTCTGCAAATACATTCAGCAGCAAAAGCAGTTTTTAACATTGATAATAATGAGAAGCATCACTAATAATGAAAGGTTATTAAGTAATTAACATCAAAATTGAGCACTAAGTCAGCATATTGGAATGATTTCTGAAGGATCATGTGACGCTGAAAACTGAAGTAAAGTCTGCTGAAAATTCCACTTCAACATCACAAGAAAAAATAACATTTTAAAATGTTCAAATTTTTTTTTTTTACTTTTAAAATGTAATAATATTTCAAAATATTACTGTTTTACTGTATGTTTGATCAAATAAATGAAGAAAAACATTTTAAAAACCATAATTATTCCATGTTGAGTGTTGTTAACTGTGTCTCTCTCAGCGGTGGTACATTGGGTCTGATCATGGCCGCAGGCTGTGTGGGAATGGCTGCTTCCTCTCTAATGGAGCTGCAGAATAACGGCGGCTATTTCCTGCATCACGTGATCTTTGCCTCCTTCGCCGTTCTCTCAGTCCTGTGCATCATGCTGCTGCCAGAGAGCAAACACAAGCCACTGCCAGACTCGCTTAAAGATGGAGAGCGGCAACGGCGTCCTCCTCTCTTCCTCTCACGCATGAACCTTGACAACCCACCCTTACTGCGCACGCAGCCACACAGCTCCGAGTACAACCGGGACAATTACTCCCGCCTCGTCACTGCCACCAAAAAGATGCTCGCCAAAGATGCTCTGCCATACAAGATCTCCATTTTGCCACAAGCGCCTCTACTGGCCAGTAATGGCACTGCTCCAGACGCCAATGACGACTCGTCCTAGCATTTCACCAAAGCTGTTTTTGACACGCAGGACCTCATCTCATAGCATGGCCAATTTGGCCACTGTGTCTTTTCCCAGGGAAGACGTCGTCTTGGTGTTTAAAATGTGGAGTATGTTGAGTATTTAGTTGATGAATGGTAAAGTTTTCAGTTTGCTGTGACTTTGTACGTTGATTTTGTATTGTTAGGAATCCCAACTCTATGCACAGATGTTGCTGGGAGACTCTGTCCATAGTTTATAAGCTACCATGTCTCTCCTTTATGTTTGAATGGAGTTTAAGATTTAGCATCGTGTCCACTAATAGTCACCTGAGAGCCATCGCCTGTCCACTTAGCGGGTGCATCTCATGTCTCTCATTAGTGTAGTCCTGTGACTAAAGCATAAAAGCTTACTTAACTTCACTGAGGGGTGCTAAAACATCCACTCAATATCATAGTTTTATTTGGTACGAATGGCTCTCGATGACGTCAGAATCGCTAGGGAAAAGTCGACTCTTTATAATGTTGGGAGTGTGATTTGTTTTCTGTGGAATGGTAGCTCATCTCAATTTCTCCTTGTGGAGATTTGTCACATCACATTCCTATCTTTCTGCTGTTTTGTCTACATGTCCCGTTGTGTTTTTTCGTGTGTCAAGCAGAGCTAGAACTGAACCAAACCTGACAAGGCAAGGGAACTGTTTTTGTCATTGTGTTTGCTTTGCCATTTCTATTACATGTTTGAAATGGAAATAAACTGTTTACTGTGCCAAGCTGAAGTAGTGCTCCTTGTGTGTCTGATCCTGAAGCTAATATTTAACAAGTGAGCAAATTTAGACACTGGGTGTACCAGAGGGCTGCTGCATTTGCGTGCTTTGTGTTTGCTGTTTAATAATAGAAATGAAAGGTCTGACAGTGTGGTTGTGAATGCTTTGTCACGTGCAGTTCTTACTTGTATGAAGTGTTTACCACCACATTTCTCTTCTTTGGCAGAGATGTGGGAATTCATTCAGTGCAACCTTCATACTGCATTATAGATATTTTCTAGCTGTATAGTGTATTGGGTGTGCATTATGGCAGTGGTTCCTAAACTTTTTTTTTTTTCGTCAGCCGAACCCCGTTACATGTCAGATATGTAATGCTTACCCCTGAGTTAATATTTAAATAATTTCACTATTAATTTAATGATGTTCACAGTTGTCTGTTATCAGTTAGGGGTCACAATAACATGCCTGTAAAAATAAAATAAAAATATTTCATCTTTTTTTTTTTGTGTGTGTTTTGGTGTTTTGTTTTCATTTTTAAAGTTTTTTCCCCCCTTTAATTTTACATTTTTAGGATTTAATTAAGCAGCCCCATACAGGTTCTTCACAAACCTCAGTTTGAGAAACCCTGATTAAAAATTAGCAACAACTTTGAATAAAGAATGGCATATTTTTTCTTTCTTTTGATATTATATATCAATATAATATATAGCTGATGAGCAAGACTAGTGATAAATCAAAAGTAATCTAAAAGTCAGAATGCATTACCCAAAATGTGTAAATTATTATTTTAATAATGTTTTCATCATGCAATCAGTAATGGACTACAATTTGCATTGCTGTTTGGATCTTTAAGATCATATACATACATTTATTTTTTATTTTTTTCTTGTTGTGTGTGTGTGTGTGTTAGTTACAGTTGTATGTATTATATGGTAAAGTGTCATTTAATGACAGCTGCTTCTCACTTTCTCCAAATGATGGCAGCAGTGAGAGGTGTCCATGTTTACACCTCTCCTCTCTTTAAATGGATGTCTAAGTATCATGTTTAAGCAAGGCCTGAAGAAAAAGGTTTATATTTTCAGTTAGCCAATCAATTTTTAAAGCTTGGCCACCACAAAATCATTCTTTGATCATACTGAGGTTAAATACAGATTTAAACTCATAATATATAGTGTAATAGCTATGATGCTGTTTTTGAAATCCAATCTTTGTAGCTAAGACAGGAAACGCTGGTATCTAACAAGGGCTTAGAAACCCTGATTTTTTGATGATTTTGGATTCCATTGACCATTGTCACATCATTTTATTCTCAACAAATTACACGTTGTAGTGAAGATTTTCAACTTGAATATTTTGTTCATCAAGATCTAATGTGTGATTGAAATATTCCCTTAATTTTCCATACAAACATAAACACAACAGTGGCGAGGCCAGAATTTTTCAAGTGAGTGGACCTTGGTGAAATAGGGTGGACCTCAGTGCCTTTGGCTTTTGGCTGAAAATATATGCCTAAATCGAAAATAAAAATATGACTAGAAAATGTGATGTTAAGCATAGTATATAACAGATAGACTGGTCATATATCATCGTTTCGGGATTGTTTCAGGACATCAAACATTACCAAATACATGCAAACAGTATAGGCTATACATGCGACTTTTGGGCTGCGTTTTGGTTTGTAGCTTCACCAAATAATAGCAAACCATAGTAGATTGACAGCTCTTGCATTTACCATTTGCCATAGAATAGCCTAGAAGCGCACAACTGGAAGACTGACACTCATCCACCGGGATCTTATTCATTCTTTACTAGGGTTGTGCGATATTGACTATGATATCTCGATATTTTCTGGGATTTTATCAATAACAATTAGATAATTATACTAGACGATTATTTTGCTGAGTGTGCTACCGTGGACAGCTGACTCCTAAAGTTTTTGTTATTCTTCATATTCTGTGTGGTGATCGGTTCATGGCAGTGATAGAAATGAATCTTTTCCAATAAGTTTAAATAGATTTTTACCTTTTATGGGCATTTTTTTTTTACCTTTATACAGCCATTTGTTTTCTTTCTAAAAGTGTGCATCACCTTTTGAGTCAATTTTTTTAGATTTTTCAGTATTGACAAAATGTATCTTTGCAATGCAGAGGAAACAGAAGCTGCATTAGAAGTGGCATTTAGATGTATTTACACACTGTTTAATGCAGCTCAGAGGGACATGGAGTACCCGCTGTTACAAATGCATAAATAATGTTTTGATATTTTAAACATAAAGCATTAAAAAACTGATGTTTGAAATTACTGAAAAAATGAAAAGATACTTTAAATGTGAAATTAAAACCGCCAGTAGGTGGCGGCAAGTCACCGTTAAGAAGTGAGTCATTGCGATTGAACCGAATCATTTAAACGGTTGATTCATTCAGGAACGAAACAGCGTCATGTTACTCAGAGATGCAAAACAGTGCTGTGGCTGTGTTTGCAATAATTTTTTGTTGTCGAAATAGAGCAAAAACAGGCAATATGCTGTCTAAAACGTAAGTATCTTAATTAACTTGTTTATTGAACTGTTGTAAAAATCAATATCACATTTGTAATCATGCTGATTTTTGGAGAAAATACGGCGCACTTCGTGCGATATTAACTATATGAAATTATACATTTTCTGCCCCCATATATTGAATTTTGTGATCATTTTAAATGCATTTTAATAGACTGAATCACGCAGTGAAAGAACGCACTCTAAATGCATCCATGCACTAGTCACTACATCACATAATGTTTGCGTGCACTCTGTAGGTGAGTTTTTTTTGGCGATATAATCGATTATGTCAAATCACACAACCTTAAAACAATTACGATATATATCGCACACCCCTATTATTCTTTACATAAATATATTGAGTGGACAAGCTGTCAGAGTGGGCCAGTGCCACCCTGGCCCTTATGTAGCCTGGCCACTGAAACACAATGCTTCAGTGCACTCACACTTAAAAATGTACAGTATTGTTTCACTATTCTGACCAATTATTTGCCCTATTTTATGAAGGTAGTGACTAGCGAGCTCAGGCATTTCTTGCCAACTTGACTATCTAGAGTAGACTATCTTGTCATGTGATATCATAAACATGACATAATTAAAGACATGTGATTTGTCCGCCCTAGTGCCGGGGGTTTCCCCTCATAAGCGATTTTCCACTGGCGACCATGTGACGCGGGGCGTCATGGATGAAGTCACGCCCAATGCGGAAGTGAATGCTACCTGAGCAGTCGCCCGAACATTCTAATCGAAACCGACGCTTTCCCAGCGTCTGAAGAGGAACTGACATGTAAATATGATGTTTATTATATGTTGTGTACGGTATTTATGAGATATACACGACGTTTTGATGATTTGTCTGTATCTGTAGGTTCTTGAAGGTTTTGTTTAGCTTCTCTAGCCGCTAGTCGAGTCGCTTCCTGGTTTGAGCAGCTCGAAAACCTGTTCAAATATCATATGTTGTGTACGGTATTTATGAGATATACACGACGTTTTGATGATTTGTCTGTATCTGTAGGTTGTTGAAGGTTTTGTTTAGCTTCTCTAGCCGCTAGTCGAGTCGCTTCCTGGTTTGATTTGTACGTTCGTTAGAGATCAGTATAGATCCATATAAGTAATAACAAGTGACTGCTTGTCAGCTTACTCTGTTTCATGTCATTTAACTCTGTTTTGGCTAACTGTTGTGACTACCAGAGTCATCAGTCAGCATATGAAAGAGACTCGAATTAAATAAACAAGTAAGAGGGTAACCAACAAAAAGTGCCAGATTATTACTATATTTTTGAACAAATAACGTTACCATGGTATTTTATGTAGTTATTGGGAGAGCTATGTAGATACCAAGATAAATAAATCATTCAGTACAACAGTATAAGTACAGAACCCGAGTAATTTGATAGTACTATACCATAGTACTGCCACTGTTTTTGACCTAAGGGACTACTGTTGTCATTTACACTGTTTCTTGGGTTCCTGGGTGTTAGATGTAACTAAAGTAGGTTTCTAAAAGCTGACTTGTGCTGTTGTCATCATATGGCAGTGAGTTACTCACCAAACGGGATGCTTGAGCTTTAGCTTTAATTACATGTAAGATACTTGGGCCACTGTTATGGCCTTCGATTTGAGTCTTTTCTGCCCCTTTTACCTGATCTTTGGCTCTTGACATTTCTCCACAGAGCTCCATCATGCTTGGTGGAGGGTTTAAATCCGAGAGACTTCGGGTCAATCTCAGGCTGGTCATAAACCGCCTCAAACTTCTCGAGAAGAAGAAAAGTAAGTTTGGTTGTCTACAAGTTGTCTACATTTTTTTCAAGTTTTGGATGTTCTAATTTAACGGAATTGAACTCGCTTGATCTGAATTAGCTGAATTAGCCCAGAAGGCTCGCAAGGAAATCGCAGACTACTTGTCGGCCGGCAAAGATGAGCGTGCGAGAATCCGAGTCGAGCACATCATCAGGGAGGATTATTTGGTGGAGGCCATGGAGATCCTGGAGTTATACTGTGATTTGCTGCTCACCCGTTTTGGCTTAATACAGTCCATGAAGTGAGTAACATTTTATTTTATTATTCTAAAAGTGATTTTATTTCTTCCATGTTCTTTAATTTTTCTATTCTCTTTTCAGAGAACTGGACCCTGGCCTACAAGAAGCAGTGTCCACTCTCATCTGGGCTGCCCCTCGACTGCAATCAGAAGTGGCAGAACTGAAGATTGTGGGTATCGTTTGTGTCTGTCTTTAATCTATTTTTGGGGTGTAGTTCTACTACTACTATTCATGTCTTTTTTCCTTCCTTTCACAGGTTTCAGATCAGCTGTGTGCCAAATACAGCAAAGAGTATGGAAAGCTATGCAGGACAAATCAGATTGGAACAGTTAATGATAGGGTATGATGAAACATTTGTTTAGAGGTGGTGGTCACAAAATTAAACTCGTAGTACTGTGTGCTTGGGCAAATATTACAATAACTATTGCTCTTTCATGGATTAGGGCATTTTCAAAGCTCCTTTAAGTAATTATTATGCTAAAATTATTAGATTTTTGGCATGTAACAGCACACCTGATCTACCTCAAATCATACTGCTTGATAAGGAGAAGTATCCCGTTACTTTCTGAAGGCTGGAATAAACTACATGACTTTTGCCAAGATTTTTTGCACCGATTCACTTTTTGGAGGAGTCAGTGCTAGTTGATGAAAATCATAGCTGGTATGCAGATTTTGAGCAGTTGGAGGTAATTTCACTGAAAAATGTGTAGTGTATGATGGGCACAGTTGTTTTTAACAATTTCATCCAGTTTGTAAATATCAAACATTTTTTTACATTTTGTGCCAATTTTAGAACACATTTTGTTTTCATAGCAACGAGGCACATTTCTGTTTGAGTTTTTTTTGTGTATGTAAAAAGTCTGGTAATGTGTGATGCTCATTTAGTGTATGACGGCCAGTTTTTCATCTCTAACCAATTCCCAGTGCTTTAAAATCTGTTCAGTTTTCAAAAGTCATGTAGTGTATTCCAACCTTAAAGGGTTAGTTCACCCAAAAATGAAAATTCTGTCATTAATTACTCACCCTCATGTCGTTTCAAACCCGTAAGACCTTCGTTCATCTTCGGAACACAAACTAAGATATTTTTGATGGAATCTGAGAGCTGTCTGACCCTGCATAGACAGCAACACAACTGAAATGTTCCCAAGTCCAGAAACGTAGCAAGGAGACCTGTAAAATAATCCATGTGACATCAGGGGTTCATCCGCAATTATACGAAGCTACGAGAATACTTTTGTGTGCAAAAGAAAAAAAACGAATGACTTTATTCAACAATTCGTCTCCTCCGCGTCACCCTAGTGCCATTTTGGAGAGTATCTTCTGGACGTAAACAGCGTATGCTGTTCTGTGTCAGCTGTGTCACGCCAGATCTGTTTCCTACGTTGTGATTTGATCTGAACGAAAACAGCGTATCCGTGTGTGCTACAGATGGCAAAATGGCGCTACAGGGTGACACGGAGGAGACGAATTGTTGAATAAAGTCGTTATTGTTTTTTCTTTTGCGCACAAAAAGTATTCTCGTAGCTTCGTATAATTGCGGATGAA